ATCCTCGTGAGGGGTGGCGAAAAATAGCCTCCCCCCTGGGGATCGCCTGGGACCCGGCCGGGGATCGGCCGGGGTACTTTTCGTCTGGGGGTCCCCAGGGGCCGCCCCGCGCGCGCGAACTAGAAATATTTTAAGTAGTTACCAGAGATCTTAGCACGCCTCTGGCACGTTGGGCCGGAGAATTTAATTTAAGCGTTTCGCTCATTCCGCCAGCCCTGGAGCCTTCTTTAGGGTCTGTTGGGGGCCTCTTGGGGACCTCTTGGGAGTCTCTTGGTGCTCCTGGGCGGCGTCTTGGGGGCCCCCTCTTGGGGGGCTTTGGGGGGCCTCTTGGGGCGGGAGGGGGGGTAGTCGATTGCGGCTCCCCCCTCGGAGGCCACGATCCTAGGGGTGTCGAAAAATGGCCCTCCCCTGCTGGAGTGCTCTGGTGGCTTCTCCCGGGACCTTGCCGGGGTACTTTTCGTCCGGGGGCACCCAGGGGCCGCTCCGCACACGCGAACTAGAAATATTGTTAATCAGTTACCGGAGATCTTAGCACGCCTCTGGCCCGTTGGGCCGGCGACTTTTTGGACCATGTTTGAGCATGTTCGGGGGCATTTTTTAGTTTTCGTCGAAAAGCCCCCTGTGGGGGGACAGGCCCGACCTGACAGTAAGGGGGGATGGGTTGCCTCACCTCCTTGCGCGCCCGACCCGGGAATGGCGTGCGGGGGCGTGCTCGTGCGCCCGCAGCCCCAGGCCGGGTTCCGAGCGGCGGAGAGGGCAGCGGGAGCTCCGAGACAGGGGTCGATGCAAGCCGGGGGCCGGCCGAAGCGAGCGCCCGATCTTGTGGGAGCCTGCAGGGCCAGGGTCGCATTGGCCCAGGCTTGGGTGCAGGATCCTGCAGGATCCTGCAGGATCCTTCGCAGTGACCCGGGCTTGGGCGCAGGATCCTGCAGGATGTTGCAGGGCCTGGCAGCCCCGGGTCCGACTCGGGTCAGGAGCTCCCCGAGGGCAACCAGCCACTCCTTGGCCCGTCCCTCTCATCTGCGAGCGGGCGGGCCGGAGGGTCCTCTGAGGCGACCGTGCGCCGTGTTGGCACGGCAGCGTGCGCATCCTGCAGCACACCGCCAGCCCTGAAGGGCAGGGCTGCCCTGCTGACGGGGCAGCGCCACCATCGAGACCAGCTCGAGGAGCGTTCGCCCCAGGCAGCCCCTAGGCGACGATCCATGGGCCTGCATCCATATTTACCCAGATGTCATAGTGCTTACGTGCATGCACAGACCTAGACCCCCAACGGCCTTGTCCTCCTCCTCCGCCTTGTCCTTCGCCTCCTCCTCCTCCTCCGCCTCCTCCTCCGCCTCCTCCTCCTCTCCTCCTTTTCCTCCTTTTCCTCCTCCTCCTCCTCCTCCTCCTCCTCCTCCTCCTCCTCCTCCTCCTCCTCCGCATCCTCATCCTCATCCTCATGCTCATCCTCCGCTCCCAGTTTCGTTGTCCTCCTCCTCTGTCCTCCTTCCCCCCTCCTCCTTCCGCCCTCCTCATCCTTCCCCCAGTCCCCTGCCAGGGGGCTGGGGGAGGCCCAGGCTGGGCCCCTCACACCCCGTACCCCGAGGCCTCGCTCAAGTCGACCGCTACCTCATCCTACGCATTCCTCCCTCTCCTTCACCTCCTCCTCCTCCTCCTCCTCCTCCTCAGCCTCCTCCTCCTCCTGCTCCTCCTCACTCCCTCTCCCCTCCTCCTCCTCCTCACTCCTCCTCCTCCTCCTCCCTCCTCCACCTCCTCCTCCTCCTGCTACCTCATATCTCCTCTCCGCCACCTCTCCTCCCTCCTCCTCCTCTGCCTCCTCTCCTCCACCTCCTCCTTCCTCCTCGCTCCTCCACCTCCTCCTCCTCCTCCTCCTCCTCTTCCATCGTCTCCTCCCTCTTCCTCTTCCATCCCTACTCCTTGTCGATAACTCCTCTCCGTCGCACCCCCATACGTGTCAGTGGGGTCAGCCAGGCAGTTCGCCTGGGACTTCCGTGCAATGTACGACCCTGAAGCCCGAAGCTTGCAAGAGGTACACAAATGGAGCGCAGCCCCCTCTTCCAGCGCACCCGATGGGCGGAGAAGAGCCGCCAGGACCGCACCTTTCGCCCAGGGCGTCGCCCCCTCCGTGCCGCTGTCGTGGCGCCGCGCTCGCGGTTGCGGCGGGCCCTCGGCCCGGCGTGCGGCGGGCGAGCGCCGACGCCGACGACGACGACGACGCCGCCGCCGCCGACGACGACCACGGAACGCGGCGAACTGGCGGAACTGCCGCCCGACGGCCGCCCGACGGCCAGCCGCCGCCCGCCCGCCGCCCGCCGCCCGCCCGTCCTCCCCGTCCGCGCTCGCAAACCTCGTCGCCGTCGTCGTCGTCGCCGCAGTCGTCGCCGTCGCCGCCGCCGCCGCCGTCGTCGTCGTCGTCGTCGTCGTCGTCGCCGTCGCCGCCGTCGCCGCCGCCGCCGTCGTCGTCGTCATCGTCGTCGTCGTCAGCGCTCGCCCGCCGCCCGCCGCCCGCCTGGCCGAGGGCCCCCACCGGCCGGCGCGCCGAGGGCCAGGGGCGCGGCCCCATGCGCGCGTCGCCGCGCTCGCGCTCGCCGCCGCGCTCGCTCGCGGGGCCTGGCGGCAGGGGCGGGCGTTCCCGGTGGGGGGCGGTGCAGTCGCAGGGGGTTGGGGCGGCGTCTGGGGATCGCTCCTCCCTCCTCCTGCTCCTCCTCCTCCACCTCCTCCATCCTCCTCCTGCCCTCCCACATCCACCACCTCCTCCTCCTCTCATCCGCCTCCTCCTTCCCCTCCTCCTCTCCTCCTCCATCCTCCTCCCCACCTCCACTTCACCTCCACCTCCTCCACCTCCTCCTTTCCCCTCCTCCCTCCCATTTTCTCCCTCCTTCCCACCCTCCCCCTACCTGTCACCTCACTGCGTAATGCTGAGCAGCGGATGACTCAGTCCTCTTGCCCGTTCCCTCCTCACTCTCACTTCGCACTCCTCCTCCACCTCTCCTCCTCCTCATCTTTCCCCCTCTTCACTTCCTTCTCCTCACAGTTAACTCCTCCCTGTTTCACTTTTCCTCCTCCTCCTCCTCCTCCTCCTCCTCTTCACATCCTCACTCCTCACTGTTCACTTCTTCCTCCTCCTCCACTTCGTCTCATTCTGCTCTGCCTCCTCCTCCCTCCTCCCTCCCTCACTCATCCTCATCCCTCCTCACTCCTCCTCCTCCCTCCAACCTCCACCTCCCCTCCATATCCCCTCCACCGCCTCCTCATGCTGCAAGCTTCCTCCACCCCTCCTCCTCCGCCTCCTCCTCCTCCTCCTCTCCACCACAATCCTCATCCTCATCCCTCCTCCTCCCCCTCCTCCTCCTCCTCCCAAACCCCTTCTCCTCCTCCTCCTCCTCCTCCTCCTCCTCCTCCTCCTCCTCCTCCTCATGCTGCTGCTCCTCCTCGTGCTCCTCCTCCTCCTCCTCCTCCTCTCCTGGGGACCAGGAGGCTGCCTGACTTAATTGGAGCGGGGGCCGTTTTGCACGCATCCGCCAGCCGCCTGTTTGCAGTGCGCGGCCCAAGGAGGTCCCGACCCTGGGCTCGAAGCGGACCCGAGTCATATTACCGAAAATCTGAGATGGCACCGTGATGCGGAAGATGAGGATAGCCGTGATGAGGAAGATGAGGACGCCAGCGAGGACGAAGGGGAGGGTGATGGTGATGGTGATGGTGGTGGCGGTGGTGGTTGTGGTGATGACGATGATGATGATGATGATGATCATGATAATGATGATGATAATGATGATGATGATGATGATGAGGATGAGGATGAGGATGAGGATGAGGATGAGGATGAGGATGAGGATGAGGATGAGGATGAGGATGATGAATGATGATGATGATGATGATGATATGAAGATACGATGATGAGATGATGATGCCGCTGATGAAGATGAAGGCGATGACTAATGACGATGATGAAAATGACGATGATGATGAAGAGGAGGATGATGAGGATGATGCTGATTAGATGTTGATGCTGTCTGATGATGCTGATGATTATGCTGATACCGAAGATGCTGATGCTGATGATGATGGTGGTGGTGGTGGTGGTTGTGCTGGGGATGCTGGTGTTAGTGGTGATGATCAGGAGGATATTGACGATGATGATGCTGATGCTGATGCTGATGCTGCTGATGATGCTGATGATGATGCTGCTGATGATGATGATGATGCAGCTGATGATGATGAGGGTGATGATGATGGTGGTGGTGGTGATGGTGAGGAGGAGGAGGAGGAGGAGGATGATGAGGATACTGCTGATGATGATGATGATGATGATGATGATGATGATGATGATGATGAGGATGAGGATGAGGATGAGGATGATGGTGAGAAGGAGGAAACGGCCGATGAGGATGATGAGGATGATGAGGATGAGACGGATGATGGTCATCGTGATGGTATGATAAGGATGATGATGTTGATGATGATGACTTTAATGATTACGATGATGCTGATGATGATGATAGTGGTGGTGGTGGTGATGCTGATATTGACGATGCTGAAGATGATGATGATGATGATGATGATGATGATGATGATGATGGTGCTGGTGATGATGATGACGATGAGATGATGGTGATGGTGGTGGTGATGGTGGTGGTGGTTGTGGTGGTAATGATGATGCTGATGATGATGGTGGTGATGATGATGCTGATGCTGCTGATGATGATGATGCTGATGATGACGACGATGACGATGACGATGACGATGACGATGACGATGCTGATGATGGTGATGATGCTGATTTTGATGAAGATTATGAAGCTCAAGATGGTGATGCTGGTGATGATTCTGATGAGGAGGAGGAGGCGGAGGAGGAGGCGGAGGAGGTGAAGGAGGAGGAGGAGGAGGTGGAGTAGGAGGAAGCAGGAAGCAGGAAGGAGGGAGGAGGAAGGAAGGGGTGAGCAGCGTGACTGCAGTGGCCCCCCTCTTGGCCAACACCTGCCCCTGCTGCGGCCGCTGAAGCGCCGTGCGCGCCCGCGGCGGCCCCCAGCGATGGCGGCGGCGGCGGCGGCTCGCTGGCCTCGGCGATCGGCGCCGCCGAGAGCGGCGCGGCGGCCGAGAAGGCGGGCGTCCCGCCTTTCGAGTCGTCGTCGTCGTCGCCGTCGCCGTCGCCGTCGTCGTCGTCGTCGTCGTCGTCGTCGTGGT